TATGGTGGATTTTTCCCTTTACCAATATGTAATGATCTTCTTTATCTCCTCTAATTAATTTTGTATTGAAATTTTTATGCCAGATGTGAGTTTACATGTTCTTCCTTGCTTTTTGGTCCCATTTACCTGGAATATCATGTTCTATCTTTTCACTGTCAGTCTATGTGCATCTCTACACATGAGGGATGAAATGAAACCATGTCATTTGTTAGCAAAATGGAAATGGAGGTCATCATGTTAAAAGAAAATAGACTTTAAAAGTTACATATTGAGTGTTTCCTCATAGGCAAAATAAAACAAAATGATGGCATGGAAGTAGAAGGGATACTACTAAACACAAAGAAGGAGATCAAGAAGGGAAGGTGGAAATGGAAATGAAAAATTCAAATGCATTCTAGTTATTTTCAAATTTATAATGATATATTACCCTTTCTATATGTACCAGAAATAGACAAGAATTTTTAAAGCAAAAATACTTGCATGGGATTACACCTTTAATTATACATGGTTTAATGAAGTAAGTGATTAGCACTGAAAAAAACAAAAGCAAAAAATCTATGTAAATTGAAGTAAAAAAAAGATAGTTACAAGTAAAAAAAACCCAGAAAATAATAAATTTTTTTCAAGCTAAGTAAAATTATCTTAGGGAGAAACAGAAAAACAAATCTGGAAGGGATGAAGCAAGTTCACTGATAAATATATGGGTACTTCTAAAAGAGTATTGTTGGATAAAAAATACGGTTAATAAGATCTCCAGAACTAAATTATATGTAGAATTAGAACATATGACACGGCAATACACAAACTGGAAAATATTACAAAAGTGAAACTTTTAAATCAAGTTAAAACATCTTACCATCCTAGAGAAGTAATAAAAGAACTAATTCATATTGGATTGTAAAAATTGAGACTATATAACAATATTTATGACAACAATAAAGGGAAGGCTGGAGAAAAGCATAATTAAGCTAATCAGGATAGAATAGTATAACAAAAAATAATTAATCTATAAGAAAATATAAAAATTAAAAGTTTCTCTAAAGACACTAACGAACAGAAAGTGTCTAGTATAGAAAAATGGCCGTGCTGATCTCAGATACACCAGTCAATAAACTAAGCACTTCATTTTAAAGAAAATATTGTCAGGTTGGATAAACATATTTTTAAATATACCAGAAAGAGAAATTATAATTACACAAAATTATTTATAAGACATGAACACTACAAGTAAGAAATTTGAAGGTTGAAGGTCAAAAGATGGAAAATGTCTACTACCAAAATACTTACAAAAGCTCTATGGCTCAGGGAGTGCAAACTCCAAGACAACAACACAAAGCAAAATGTTTCTACAGATAAAGAGTTCTTTTAAATTGTATAAGGCCACTACATCAATATTTAACATGACTCAATTTCTGCATACTTACTAAACTGGCACTAAAATACAAAATCAAAAACTGGTAAAATTGGGCTGGAGCTATAGCTCAGCAATCTAAAGCATCTGCTTAGGGAAGCTTAGGCAAAGCACAGAGAACATGGTTCAATTCCCGGCACCACAAACCGTGCCACAAGCTGGCCCCAGGGCAGGCTGAGCTGGCCACATAAAGAAAAAAAAAAAAAACTGGTAAAATTGAAAGGAGAAATGATTTTAAAAACATGGAAAGAATCAAAGTGCTTCTCTTAATATTTGAAAAGAAAATAGCAAAACACAAATCAAGATACCTATGAACTTATTAAAAAGGAAAAGCAAAACTGAATTCCATTGACATGTATGGAACAGTAAAACCAACACAGAAAATTAACTATTTCCAAAGAGAAAACTATATCCAAGAGTGGTGTCACATGCCTGTAATCCTAGCATTTCAGAGGCTAATGCAGGAGGATTGCAAAGAATTTCAGGCTAGCTGGGACTGCAAAGCAAGACTCTGTCACAAAAGAAAAAAAAAGAAAAAAAAAAAAAAAAGACAAACTGTATTGACCTAATAAAACACACATGCTTGTTAAATCAATAAGTAAAAATGTAGAAACCTAGAAAATTACCCTAGCTTTAAAAATAAATTAGAAAGCTTCAAAAAGCTTTATAATTAAAGCTTTAAAAAGAAAACTGTAATTATTAAGAGTACACAGAAGGCAAAAAAAGATATAAAAGTTTTGGAGCCAGCCAGAAGTAAACCAGCAGATTAAAGCACTTGCTTAGGCCAAATGCAGGGATCAGGGTTTGCTCCCCAACATGCAGTGCCAGCCCTGCCCTGGGGTGTGCTGAGACAGCCATGGAGACTGGGCATGATGGTGGACGCCTGTAATCCCAGTTTGGGAGGCTGAAAACAGGAGAAACACTACAAGTCCAGTCACTGTGGTGAGACCCTGTAGACGTTGTACTAAATACATTTTTTAAAAAAGTTTTGAGGGCTGGGGAGATAGCTTAGAGGTCTAAGAGCCTGCCTGACAAGCGCAAGGACAAGACTTCAATCCCCAGTACTGTGTGCCACCTCCATTCTGGCCACCAAAATTGGGCGTGGTGGTGCACACCTGTAATCCTAGCATTGGGGAGGCTGAGACAGGAGGATTACTATGAGTCTGAACTGTGTAGTGAGATCCTGTATCCAATAATTAAAAAAAAATTTCAAAAATAAAATTTTGAAGTAAATGATAGTGAAACTCCAATGTATAAAAACACGTGAAAGCTGGTCTGGTGGCATACACCTAGGACTCTGGGAGGCACAGGCATGAAGATCACAAGGTTGCCCAGTCTGGGAAACAGTGTTTTAGGGAGATACTCTCTCAAAAGTAGAAAACTAAAAAATGGGCTGGGGGTAAAAAGATGTCAAGAATGAATCTATTCAACTACTTTAACAACTTAGATGGAAAGGACAAATTCTAAAAAAAAAAAAAAGCCTCCCTACCAAAATTGACAAAAGAGACAACCTAATATGTATTAAACAAATTGATGCTATCATTAAAACCTTTCTACAAAGAGATTTAAGGGCTACCTTGCTTTTTTGGCAAATTATTAGCAAGTATTAAGAAAAACATCACAAATTCTAGATCATTTAAAAAGAACAAAAACAAACAAACAAAAAAAAAAAAACCTTCTCAACTCATTGTATAAAGTGGGGAGAAATTTTATATCAAAACTGAAAAGAAAGCAACAGACCAATCTCATGAAAATCAATAGCAAAACTCTTGAGTAGGGGACTGGGGAGATGGCTCAGTAGAATAAGC